ACCAGACTCGCCGAGTGCACTCGCTAACTCGTAGAGTTGGTCACTTAGTCAATGACCCGGATCCCGCTTCGACTCGTCGAGTTCCTCCTGGAATCGGCAAGTTGACTCTATACTTAGAGCTTAACCTTTCTTTTCTTGGTCTCCTGATTCTGGGTCTTACAACTCTCCCCCACTTAAACTAGACTTCGTCCTTGAAGTCCACTACGACCAACTATATCATAAACCACTTACTACTTACCACTAGCTATGCACTTAACTTATCCGATTGAAATTCTTGGATATGTCTTATCCTAACTAACTTGATCATTACCATCTTCCAGTGCACCACTTTTACCCAACTGGAAAATCTCATCGGCACTCACAATGTACCTACTGCTGATACACAAGGGGTTACCCCTTTTACCTTGCATCACCACCAACCTTTCCAAGGCAACTTTCTACAAGTAACAAACCTTTCCATGATCATTCAATCCCCTACTGAGTTGTAATTCCGGCCACTCCTAGTGCCGGCCATCTCCACTCCGTGCGAGAATTCAAACAATCCAATCGGGAAATCGATCCCTCTCTGCTAAGGTCAAAACTCAACTAGAACTATGAACCCGCTTTGAGATTATCTGATTCCGCGGTGAGCAAATTACATCACCCGCCCACTTGAACGACATGGTCGCCTCCAAAAGCATACCCAACCTTTTCATGACCATGAAGACCAGCCCCTGCAGGGTTCTAAACTCGAAAAAGAAACAAATACCTTATATCATGATCATATTGACTCCATCTGAAACCTGCTTTCATGGGGTAGTCTGATTCCCTAATACTCCACCTATACTGAAATGATATTATCCTGCTGTGAGAGACTTCCCATTTCCCAATCAACCAACTATTCTGCATGCACTTGCAACCCAACTCAAAAACTGATAACAACCATAACACTGAAACTATCTGAAACACTAAACTGCCTGGAGCACTGAACTGCCTGAAACACTGAACTGCTATATGGCTGCTTCCCAAAATATCTCGAGACCTTCCTGGTCTCCAATCATTCGTTGGTTATCTGCACCACCGAGTTCTAACTTAACTGTGGAGTCCAATGACTCCTCACTTTGTCGTTCCTATGATTTTTGAATGAAATCCTCCACTGGAACTAGTTGCTACCAGATATCTTGTCACTGTGGCTCTACCAACCTCCCGATCCAACTGATCGGGTCCATACATCGAATCCTGAAAACATCAATTCCAATACTAAAAGTGATGGCTCCCAGACTAATGGTAGCCCTTAACATACACGAACCCAAGCAGTCCACTGCTTCCCTGGTCTCGTAACTGCGGAGACGATCCGACTGTCGAATCGCCGGCTTAATCATAACTGAACCATTTGGGAGATCTGAAATCTAACCCGTGGATTCCCATACCCTCACTACTGCACCTAAACTGGTGGGTACTACTGCTTCCCCCGCATCCAAACAACACGCTCATGCTGCCTACCAACCTGATAAATGTTACAGCTAAACCCGCAGACTTACAACTCTCTAATACTATATGGATGTTAGTGAATGCTACGGCTACCCCCGTAGACTTACAACACTCTACTACTCTCTGACTGATAGTGAATGCTACGGCTACCCCCGCAGACTTACAGCACTTTTACTACTATCTGACTGCATGTGAATGCTACGGCTACCCCTGCAGACTTACAACACTCTACTACTATCTGAATGAGTGAATGCTACGGCTACCCCCGCAGACTTACAACACCCTACTACTATTTGACTGCAAGTGAATGCTACGTCTACCCCTGCAGACTTACAACACTTTCCTTACTAACTGGATGTTGCTGGAAAAATTTTGCGGCCTTACCGCCGCTCTACCATGCTCTGCAGGTTGTCTCTACCACTGGCTACTAACACGAAAGCATCTCTTGCTAACCGTTCTCAAGATCCTCATTCTGACTCACTAGAGTCCTACAGGCGGTCCTCCAACCCTGGATTCTCAACCAGCTACTAACCATCTCGATTACATGAACTAACTGTTGGGAAGTTCCTCAAACTCCCAATCCAGAACTCCTCAATCCATCAATCGTTGTGCTACAATCTTTTCTTCTTAGAGGTTGCGTACTCATTTTGGGTCTGCGTGCTCTTACCCTTGTATACTCAGTTTGTGCTAAAGGATGGGGAATATTTCTCAAAAGAACCAAATACCACAATATCCAATTCTAGTCTGTGAAGTTTTTGATGTGTAGGGATTGATTTTAAGGGTCCATTTCCCGTTTTGTTTGGCAATAATGACATCCTACTCATGGTTGATTATGTTTCTAAATGGGTTGAGGCCAAAGCCACAAGGTTGGATGATGTCAAAACGGTTATTGAGTTTTTATAATCTATTATTTTTGTGAGATTTGGTGTGCCTAGGAACTTGATTGGTGATAGAGGGGGGAATTATTGCAACAAGATGATAAAGGATTTTTTTGAAAAAGTATAATGTTACCCATCGTGTCTTTACCGCCTACCACCCCCAAAAAACGGCCAAGCGGCAATTTCAAATCGAGAAGTGAAGCCTATCCTTGACTAAACGATAAATGGAATGAGAAAGGATTGGATTTAAGGCTAGATGATGCCTTGTGAGCCTACCAGACCGCTTACAAGACCCCCATAGGCATGTCCCCATTTAGATTAGTTTTTGGAAAGCCATGTCATCTTCCCGTGGAACTAGAGCACCGTGCATTTTGGGTGGTCAAGAAATGCAACTTCAACATTGATGAAGCGGGAAGGATTAGAAAGCCTGAAATCCAAGAGTTAGAAGAGTTAAGGAATGACTCTTATAAGAGGACAAGGATATACAAAGAGGAAACCATGGCTTTCCTTGACAAGTCCATCACCCAAAAACACTTCAAGCCAGGTCAGAAAGTCTTACTCTATCATTTCCGTTTAAAGTTGTTTCCCAGAAATTTGAGGTCAAGATGGATAGGTCTATTAGTTTCCTAAAGTCTTTGAACATGGAACGGTGGAGATCTAAAGTGAAGAAACATGGAAAATATTCAAAGTCAATAGGCATCATTTGAAACCTTTCTACGAGGGTTTTAATGCTAATGTCCTAGATGTCATCCATTTGGATGCCCCGATATAATGAAATCGTAAAGGCGAAATGTCTCGCCAAAGACTTTAAAGAGGGGCATTTTTGGAAGGCATTATGCTTTCATCTTTTTCTAATTCTGAATAAATGTTTTAGTTAAAAACCGTTTTTTCATTTCCAAGCTCTCCTTTATTTTGAAGTCAGAGTTTGTTGAATTTTGAAGTCCCGAGGTTCATTCTAGTCAAATTCAAAAAACTTAAATCTTGTTCCAAAAGATCCTACAAATGGTACACGTCTGATCCCCCCTTCCACGTAATGCTGATAGCGAGAAAATAAAGATTCAGAACTATTTCAGCACATCCCACGCAGTTTGCGTGTACTCCAGGACTGGACAACGTGGCCTACAAGCAATCCACATATATTTATCCCTTATCCGCATGATTATTTGAACTCATATCCTTTATATCACATCCCACGCGATCCGCATGTACTCCTGAAACTGTCTGCGTGATGTGTTGACCTTCGTTGACTCGAATGTTGACCAAGCTTAACAGAAAAATTAAGCATATTTTTTACTCTAGCATCGGCTGACTCACCTTTCTTCCACATTTCTTTAACTCTTTCTCTCTCTAACCTCCAGTGAAGAAACCTCCATCTCCATCACTAAAACTTGATTTCCCATCAAACCACCGGTCGAAATCTCATGAAATTACTGACGTTCTTTCCCTTTTTCGAGCTATACATTACCCATCTAAATTTTGCTCCGATCCGCCCCTGGAATAAGCTGCACTGATCATACCTATTTCGTCGGGAATTTCGATTTTCCAGCCACCTCCGATCACCTATCAAAATTTCGACACCACCATTGTGTTCAACTTGGTCTAGGTTACAAACCCCACTAGAAATATCTCTCAAAGTTGACTGAAAATTTTCATTGGATTTTCAAAGCATTGCCATATTTCTTGAGTTTTCATGGTAAATTCTTTCTCATGGGCTATTGAGTAAATCTTCAACATTGGGGTAGATTATTGCAAGAATTTCAAATTTCGGATTCTTGTGCGCATTTTTGTTTTTAAGAATTCGCAACCACCAACATGGTATACTCTTTCCTTGACTTTAGATAATCTATATGCATATTTAAAATGATGCTTTAGTTGACAATTCTTCAAGTAAATCTAGGAATCATATTTTGAATTGGTTTGGTGATCCATTTAGAAGTACATAGGGAGTCTATTGGTGAATTGGATTACATCATTATCTATTTGTATTGTTGGTCTTTTTGGTTTACAAATTTGTTTATAGGTTGTTCATGTTCAGTTTATGGAAGTGCTCGACTGTTGACCAAGGAATAGCCCCGGCTAGGGGACGAAATGAGGAACCAACATTCCAAGGTTTTAGGACAAGAAAGTAGTTGAAAACTACTAAAAGAGTTTGTCTAGGAAGGTTGCTTCAACAAAGTTTGTGTGCAAATCCATACTCATGGTGCATACATATCAACTTCCTACTAGAGAGTTCCTTGCTTACTACGGGTTAGACAACGAGAGAAGAAAAGCTTTATTCTAACTTATGGGGGAATTGATCCTTCTCGATTTTGAGAGTGTAAATGACATCATGGGATTGCCATCAACAAACGCATTTGTGGCTTTTGATTCACTAACCCCTGAGTTCAACCATGAGAATATTTGGACAGAATTTACCGGTGGGATCTTTTCTTGGACAGAATTCACCCATGCGTCTGCATTGACCATTGTATCTTAGTGTGCATTGTCCTTGCCGAAAATAAGTCGATCAAGTCACAAAGGTTGAGCTGTTTTTACTTTGGTTCATGACAAGGCGTGAAAACTCTCCCATCTTGGATTTTTCTTCATTCTTTTCCTATAAATGTGCCCTCATGAAAACTAAAGCATCCGATGATATTTGCATACGAGGATTTCTCACACTTTTATCCCGTAGTCTCGACATCGAGCTCCCAGAAGACCATACGCCCATAGACTACAAGACTCTATCGGATGTTCGAGTTCTAACAAACATACATCATATCTGTCGTGGGAGTAGGGGTGGTTACATGGTTTTGTACTCAAGGAGTCAGCTATCTCATTCTTCCCGACCCTAGAGTATCGAATTTCACTTACCATGACCACAATCAATGGAGACTCGAGAGAACCATCACCCAAACGATTTATGAGGATGCACTCCATGCTCAAGATAGTGTCGAGATGCATATGGATGACAAGTTCGATGATGAGCCTACCCATGGCCCCAACAAACGCAACCACAAGTGCCTCCGAATATTTCTAGCTCCCCCCCCCCCCCCCCCGAATTTTGCCGAGCGATTCGATGATCTTTGTGACTCCAACCAAATCATGTCACATTAGACACATCATATGTGGGGCTGATACCAATCATAGAACCATGTAAGAACATACCACTTCATCCTCCATATCCATACCCTCCCCCGGTCATCCTTATCCCCTCCACCCTACCCTTAACCTTACCCACAATATTACCATCCCTATCCTCCTCCCAACCCCCTAATTTAGGTACTTTCACCCTACCCCAAGCATTGAAGACAATGATTATTTTTAAGCTTGGTTGGATATTTTTTATCTTTCTTATGCATTTTAGCTAGGATTTCATAGCATTTTATCCTTCATTTACATTCATTTTTTTTATTTTCTAAAATCCCAAAAGATTTTGTTTTCTTCTTTTTTTTGCAGTTTTTTTATTTTTGCATAACATTTACCTTACGCCATTAACATACATGCATTTTTGTTATCCATTTATTCTTATCTCTTGGATGCCATGGAACAGGGTCATAACTATTGTGTTATAGATTTTTCCTGGGTCTTGTTGTGAAATTCCTTGTGCTTGACAAGTGTGAAACATTTTGATCCTAAAAAGACCACTTTTTGAACTGCTTGTATGGGTTTCAGATGTAGGTACCTTGATTGGATCAAGGTGGGGATGGAAGTGGTCAGCCAGAAAGATGTATGTAGGAAAAGATTAGACCAGTAAGGTATTGTGAAGATCATGAAGAATTGAGTCTCGATTTTGGGGGAAGTACCCCTTAGTACTCCCGAGTCTCGCCTGAGCCTTACTTAGTTAGTTTCTCACCACCTTGTAGGCTAGGAAATTTTTTTAGGGATCTAGAATAGTTAGATAGTTAAGTTTGTTCATCGCACCTGACATTGATGAACTTTGAGATAGGTCCCCCAATTTGCATTTTTGGGACCACCATTTTTTTTGTAACACTCACTCTTGAGTCATTCCCCGCCCTTTTTAGTAGATGTTGACACACTGTCAATGATTATTAGGTATTTATTTTTAGCCTCTACTTATGGTGCAATCTCTACGCCATGATGAAAACAAACAAATGAAGAAAAATTATAAAAGCGAAGCCGAAAAAAAAGGAATCAACAAAAGAAGATTCGAAGACACAACAAAAACAAGAAAAAATTGAATAAAAGGTGCAACACAAAAGAAGAATAAGAGATCAAGTGAAGATTCAAGCTCGTGTGTTATAGTAAAACAAAAACAATGAACGGCAGACCACAGAAGACCAAAAGAAGAAGTTCAATATTGAAGACATAGGTTGTCTTGTGTCTAATTATTAGATTGAGTTACTTTTATTTTGTTTTATTTTATTTCTAATTTTGGCCAGAAAATTCTATGAAGGTGAGACGGTAGATCATAAAGGACAGTACATAGGAGAAACCTTCTTAACCACATCTTTTCCCGGAGGCCGTTGCTGCAAAAACCCTATTTCATTATTATACACTTTGGCCTAATAAATGTAGGAATCATCGTGTATGTGAGCATCTTTCCTTCATGCATTTCGTATGCATTAGCAATTTAAAGTGCCCCTACTGGGCCCATCCCCTGTTTCCTTTGTCTAGCATGTTCCGATGGTTACCACCTCCAGATGAAATCTATTCGACTATCAAGCGGTTCAGGAATATGGTTTATGGTTCTAAAGTGAGGAACACTCGGAGGGCACGTAGGGTCCATGCAAGGCTGACTCTGACCATGTTGACTGATCTTGACCAGGTTCTATGTTTCTATCCATTGTTTTTGTTAGGATAGTTCATCCCTAATTCATTTTAGTCTTGTCTTACTTGAGGACAAGTATGGTTTAAGGTTGGGGTGATTTCATAGTTTCATTTTATTGCTTATTTTCTTAGTTTAATTTTAGATCATTCTATCTCTTTTTCTGTAATTTTTCATATTTATCGGGTACTTTCTAGTCTTTTGAGCTTAATTGCAGGGCTTATCAACGACTATTCAACATGGAGGAATGGAAAGAATACATGACCTTTGGAAACTTGTGGTTTACTTATGGATTTGAAGTGGTCAACAAAATCAAAGGATCAAGTTGGGCTTAATTTTGGATGAAGAATGATGATGACGATGATGATGATGGTGTGAAGAGAATTTGATTTATAGAAGATCAAAGAAGCAATAGGCTATCTTAGGAGAGCTAAGAATACACAATTTAGCTATCAAGAACCTTTGCATGTGGGTTGGACGAAGGAATAAAGGAACAACTAGAAGACAAACTAAATGGGACAAATAACCGAGTTCAACAACACCCATGCGGTCCATGTGGATCCACAAATGGGTCGTGTGGATCATGCTGTGAAGAATCCAGATTTTTGGCTTTAGTCTCTATTTGGGGAAAGTTAGTGGGATACAATTGGGTAACTTTTGCTTCTGAGTTTTGGCCATATTTTACTATATTTTTTAAGAGAAAAGGGGGATAAATCTTGAAGGAAGAACACATTTTTCTCTCAAGGAAGACTTGAAGCCTAGCGTATTTCTTTCAGCTTTCAATCTAGAAAAATGTTTGGTATCTCTAATCTAGTTTGTTTTTCTTTAATCTTGGACATGCTTGGCTAGATTTTTGTTTGGTTGATGATGGTTTAACCCATGGACGATTAGTTACTTTGAAGACTTCATATTATCTTGTATTTGAAATTTATGGCAATGTTTTCTAGTCAAACATCTTCTTATGTTTATTTGTCTTTCATCATGAGCTCAGATGAATGAATGTTTATATCTTTGTTTTCATTCCATTTAAACCATGGAAATATTTCCTCCATAATGATAATGTAAGCATTTGATTATCTTCTGGGTTTGGTGAATCTTAAAACTTAATGCTAATTGATTTTCATAAAATTACATGCTTCATTGGTTTTGTGACTTTGATTAGAAAATGTGTTCTAAGCTCCTCTAACCATATTAATAAAAAAGAAAAGTTGAGGTGATTTATCCTCATGAATTGCTATAGTCATGTTAAATTAAATCACAAGCGTTGTTCCATTTTGTCTAATGATAGGTTAACTAAGAAATCGATGTAGTGTATTCCAAAATCAACCATTTACTTGTAATTTCTACTTTCAAGCATAATTTTAGTTTTTTCAAAACAATCATATAGATTTATACCCCCGTTTTACTTTTATTTTATTTCACAAGTACTTGAACACGTGATTTTCATAGACATATAAATTGAACCAATCGTTGTAGACACGATCCCTTTACCATTATATATTATTTTGTGTGCAAGATTTGGGGTTATTAATTTTGTTGGCTTCGAAAACCACCACCAAACCACTAAAATATAGACTCTGAGTCTCAAAGGGATCCAAAAATCAATCCTTCTTCACTTAATCCATTACGTCCAAGTGTCCAACCTTCACATCTGAATGATCATGGTGTGTAGAGGGATAACGTTTCTAATTTTATCTATAACATTTTCTCAAGCTTCCAAGATCTAAACTTTAATACACCAAAATAACCAAGATACCTAACATGTCTATAAGGGAAGGCAAAACATCACAAATTTCCTACTCCATGAGGTCCAAGAAGCATTCTAATTTGATCAAAAGATGTTGGAGTCCACTAAAATCTTAGATTACCCATAAAATGTACCAAAAGTACCAAAAATCCCAAATGAAAAGATTTAAAGAACTAGATAGCAAGATTGGAAGTTTATACTTACAATAGTCTAGAAATGTAGTGTCCTTGATGGAACCAAAGTTAAAGCATCATTCCTTGCAATCAAAATAACCCTCTTGATCTTTAAAGTTCAACAAATTAGCATAAAAAGCATCCAAAATAGGAGAGAGGAGAGATGAGAAGCTTAAATCTTGATGATGGAGGCTAGGATTTCTCCTAAGGGGTTCTAAAGGTGATTGAGGCTGATAAAAAGGCCAAAAAGTTGGACCCTTATGCTTAAATATGTTGAAAACCCTAAAAATCATGGACTTTGGCTTGACTAATTGTCATGTCGTGGTCACGCTTCGCCGTGCCATGGCGACTGCCACGCCGTGGGCCCTTATCCCCACTCAGTGGCAACAGTTTTCACCCAAATCCACCTCAACTTCAAACGACCATAACATCTTCGTTTCAACTACGTTTTTGGTGATCTTTATATCTACGAAAAGGTATTGACGATCCCCACAACTTTATCTAGTTACTTTTGGTGTAACACATGCCAAACTAAAAACCATAATTCATAAAAGAAGACTGAAACATCACTTTTCCTATTCTACGCTTTGATTTCAAAACACAAACCAAGGGATTAGATCACATAACCAATATTTCAACATCCAATAAGGTCTAAAACTTATTCCCTTGAAGTCCAAGGACTTTAATTGATCCATTTATTTTCCATAATACCTAACTAAGAAACTTCACAAAAGAAGATGTTACACTTAAACCAAGAGCGATCTTTACATACATGACTTGTTGCCCCCACAGTCTATCCACCGTGCATGATCATCATCCTTAAGATAAAATCATTCAAGAATAAGTGTTATATGATATATAAAAACAACTGATTTTTCAAAAATAAAATTATGACCTTGTCGTTTTTTACATTATCATTTGATCCTTGTCCATAAGGACTTGATCCATTTTTGTTCTTCTTCAACTGACAATTTCGCTTCATGTGACCGAGTTTGCTGTAATCACAACACAAAAGTATTGCTTTCTGGTTTGAAACCTTATGATGGTCATCTTTCCTCTTCCTTTTTCCTTTATTATTTTTTTGATGTTTGTTGTCTTCCACCGTGTTCACAGAAGATCTAGGAACTTCCTTTTCCTTTTATTTTCTACTTTCATTATCTTGAAGACCCTATTCAATTCTCAAGTGAATGCCAAGTTATACTAGACACAACTCTTATTTTTGGAGTTCTAGTGTGTTTCATGTCTTTCTAGGATAGATTTAATTTATCAAAAACACTTGAGAAACAAA